AGAAAAGTTGGAGGGGAAAAGAAAGCACTTTCCTAGGAGGGAGATCTTACAACACTTTCAGACCCAATACAGGGGACATCTGTAACTAAAATTACCACCACCATTGGGGGACAAGCTACGTGGACCAATAGAGCAATAATTTTCAAACTGACTAGTCAAATAAATGGGGCAATAATTTTTAAACCTGCCAATCATTTGAATTTATTAATTAAATAATTTGGTCAACATCTGGCATTGAGGTGGACTTGAAATTGGTAGATTCAGTAAAATAAATTAATCTGATGAATGTTGTTCCTTGAAAGAAGCCGTTGACAGATTTGAAAAAGTGATTTTAGAGCATTTCAGGATTACAGTGAGTATGAGCCATAATTCCAGATCAGCAACTATGTGACCTGTAAGGCAGCTGATAACCTTCATCGTAGCTCATCTGAAGGAAATAAATAATGATGATTTGATCTTCTTTAGGGGTTTCATGAATCAGCAGCTAAAGCCTATCAATTCTTCCATAAATATAGTTTTAACATTCTGGGTCTTGGAAAGGAGGGAGGCTATATCTTGGGTTTCATCAGCTACTATTCATCTACAAGAGTGTTTAACTGACATTTACTTTGAAAAATAAGGAAAGTTCTATTGTTACTCCCTGTCACCTGTTCACTGAAGGAACTGAATTCTAAGGCATTTCGGCTTTTTTAAGCCCAGGTTGATAATTCATATCATGTTTCAGATCGCCATGCCTTCCCAGGTCAAGAGCAGCTTGCTGTGCAAAGGTCGGTTTTACAATTTTGCCCAGCTTCGTCTCCACCTGTACTTCACTCCTATATCATTTAGTAAAAACTGCATTACTTTGATGTTGAAGGTTGCATTTAGGCAGGCAGAGCAGCCTCACTCCCACCCTGAGTTGGAACAGATAATGGATTCTGCAGAGCAGGTGTCCAACTGGCCAAGGTCATCTCACAATGAGTCAGTATAGATATCCAAATTGCATTTGTGGACAAACTCAGCACATGACAGGTACAGGTGATAAGTGTCCATTGGTCTAGCTGTCACAGTGGTCTGAAGGTACAGAACAAATCAACTGAAAAAGGCTGTGCCTGCCTTAGAAGGTTATGTCTTCACTAATCCTGTAGCAACCAGCAGGCTAGTATTACTTTGTGCAAATATCTATACTGGTATGTGTGGACGATTTTGTTTCTCAGGAGTTATTTGTTCAGGGAAAAAAATGGAAAGTGGAAAGATGAAGTCAGTTTTCTCCTGACATTTCCAAAGATGAATACTTGTGAAGGACAAGCAGGCAATCTCTCCTTCGAAACAGTGAATCCAAAGAACCTAGAAAGTCCTTCAGAGTTGCGAATAGAAGATGGAAACTTCAAGGAAAACACAAGTAAGAAAATGAGAAGACTCAGCTCCTGGGAAAGAACAAGAACTATAACCAATATATTAGAAATTCATGGTTCTCGGCACTGCACTTAAGTTTCAATTTCAGGTAGTGCCTGAAATTCAAAGTCAAAGGCATTAAATTTGTGTGAGGTGTCACAGAAAATGGGTTTAAGTTTCTAAGATTTTTAAAAATACAGTTGATGAGATGAACAATATTTGGAAAAATGCTTTTTTTTTTTTGAGACAGAGTCTCGCTTTGTTGCCCAGGCTAGAGTGAGTGCCGTGGCATCAGCCTAGCTCACAGCAACCTCAAACTCCTGGGCTCAAGCAATCCTGCTGCCTCAGCCTCCCGAGTAGCTGGGACTACAGGCATGCCCCACCGTGCCCGGCTAATTTTTTCTATATATATTAGTTGGCCAATTAATTTCTTTCTATTTATAGTAGAGACGGGGTCTTGCTCTTGCTCAGGCTGGTTTCGAACTCCTGACCTCAAGCAATCTGCCCGCCTCAGCCTCCCAGAGTGCTAGGATTACAGGTGTGAGCCACCACGCCTGGCCTAGAAAAATGCTTGAAGGATATATATATATATATATATATATATATATATATGAGTTTATAGCACTGGTTTTTTTTATTCCATAGATGAAAAGGCTAATGTAAAGTTAAATGCTTTGCTCAATGTTAAATCATTAGGAAGTAAATGAGTGTAAATTTAAGTCACTTTATTTATGTTTCAATGTAGTGGAGGAGTCAGCAAACATCTCTGTAAGTGACCACATTGAGATAAAAATAAAATAACCCTTTTAAAGACTTAGGACAGAGTGTACATATTACTATTGGTTTACAGAATTTTATCCCTATTTCACAAATGAGAAGGCTGAAGTTAAATTACTTGTTCATTGTTGTATCTTTAGAGCAGAAGAGCCAAAATTCAAGGCCAGGTCTTTTGACTGTTAATCCAGTTCTCCTGTTACTTTACCACAGTATTTGTAGCACTATAAGTATCAAAACAGGCCTTTAGAAAAGTCTTAGTCTCACAAGGCCTGCTAACTTCTCTTCTCTGCAGAGTCAGTGCAGTGATATTAATAGCTGTGTGGGAATGCTTAGCCTCTGTGTTAAGAGCAGGAGCTATAGCCTTCTCCTTTCTCTCTAAATGGGTAGTTGGCCAATGTATATATTTCTTGAGCACCTACTATGTGTCAGACATTGTTCTAATTGCTGGGATACATAGTGACAGATTACTTGCCCTCAAGGTCTTTTATACTAGTGTGTGTGAGAAAGACAATCAATAAGCATCAAATAACTAAATAAATCATATAAGGTGTTGGAAAGAAAATTGTGACTAGCTCTGGAAGTTGAAGGTGCAGATTGAGCTAGGTTAGGCTTTTCAGCTAGGCTGGTTGATGGGTTCATTAAGCAAGAGGGTACTGAAGCAGCAATAACAATACCCAAAATAGTAGTTCGAATATTGGGAATGGAAAATAATGAAATGGATAATGAGATAACATTGTCAGTATATATTATTGTGTGGACCAAGTGACCCATCCAGTCTGGGCCAAGAAATGTGGACAGGCAGAAAAAGTGGAATAAAAGTTTGAAATTATCCCACATTATCCAAAAAAAAAAAAAGGAAAATAGTGGTTGATCCATCCAATGGTTACCATGTACCACGCATTCTTCTAAACACTTTACACAAATTAACTCATGTATGAGGATTAACTCACAGAGACTATCGTGCATATTTTACTTATGAAGAAACTGAGGTACAGACAGCTTATGTAACTTTCCTGTGATAGGTTAAATAATGCCCCTGTCCTTCAAAAAAAGATGTCCACATCCTAATCCTCAGAACCTGTGAAGTTATCTTCCAGGATAATGGGGCGTTTGAAGATGTGATGAAGTTAAGGATTTTGAGACGAGGATGTTATCCTGGATTATCTGCGTAGGCAAAATATAATTAAAAAGATCTTTAAAAGAGAGAAGGAGATGGAAATAGAGGTCAGAGTGATGTGGCCAGAAGCCAAGAAATATAGGTAGCTTATAGAAGCTAGGAAAGGTAAGGGAATAGATTTTCCCCTAGAGCTTCCAGAAGGAATGGCACCTTGATTTTAGCACAATGAAACTGATTTCAGACTTTTGGCCTCCAAAACTATAACATAATAAATTTGCAGTGTTTGTACTGCCTTAAGCCACTACATTTGTAATATTTTTTTTTTGCAGCAGGAATAGGAAACTAATACATTGTCCAAGGTTATGAAGCTACAAAGTGGCAGGGCCAGGATTAAAATTGAGGGTATCTGGTGCCAGTGCCAGAGATTTAACCACTGTGCTATATAAGGTCTGCAAACAGAATAAAATTTCAGGGAAAAGCAAAGTGGGGGTTGCCTAGGTTTTCCTCTTATGCTCAGAATTCCAGGTCCCAGAGAATGTAAAAAAAATAAAATAAGAAGAACAAAAAAGGGGGGGAGGGGCATCTATCAATTATCTTCTCTGCTCCACATTTTTAGTCCTGGACCCAACAAATCACTACAATAAAACTTTCATTGTAGAGATGAGAAATTTGAGGACCAAATAGTTGTGATTTTGAGGTCAAACAACCAGCTAGTACACAAAGGGCAGGTGATGGCATGGGGAGACCCACTGACCTCGGTGCCTGTGTGGAACTTGAGGGAGGAGACCGTGTGGCAAGTGAAGACCAAAGGATCCAGGCTTTCTGATGCTTGCATTTTTCATTATTCGCTTGGGAAGAAGTGTGGGAGAAGAAATGCTAATTACAAACTTACCAATGTAATACCTCTACAAGCATCAAAAGTTTTCGCTGTAACAGTCTGTTAATCTCTCTTGGTTTCTATATTCCCAAATTTTAGCCACTTTTACATCATGGTCGTACCCTCACCCCCAGCTCTCTAACACAGCATCTAGGACACAGTGGGTGCTTATAAATGTTGATGGAATTAAACTGAATGCTTGTGACAGCATACTCAGACCGGTGCTTTCCAAACATTAAGTTGCATGCAAATCCCCTGGAGACTTGTTAAAATGCAGATTCAGAGTTAGAAGGTCCGGATGGGGACTGAGATTGCACATTTCTACCCAGTTCCCATAAGACGCCAGTACTGCTGGTCTATGGTTCATACTTTTCAAGGTCTTGAAAATGAGACCTCCCCATCCATATATAAAATATAAGACACGTAAAGTGTGAATTATAAATTATCATTTAATGAAAGTTTATAAAGATAACATAGAAATAGAGTTTTCCCCTTCTAGGCACTCCCGCCCTCCCAGTAAAGAGAACGAATTAGGGTTCATTGGAAACAGGAGAAACAGTTTCTCAACCCTGGTCCGTGTAGTCTGCTCCCGTCTTCCAGAGACGGGGAAAGGGTAATGAGAGGAAGGAGGGAAGTGTCCAGGAGCCCCCATGCGGACGTTCCTGTCCCATTTCCAGCTTTTAAGAAGCATCTGCCCCACTGAACCACCCAGGTCACCGGCGAACATACTGGAGTGCAGCGCCGCGCCCCCCCTCTGCGCCCTTGCCCAGGCGGAGGCGGCCGATGCGCCTGCGTGCGCGCTAGGTATAAATAGGTCCCAGGCGGCTGCCACCGGGCAGAGCGGGGCTGCGTGCGCCGTGGGCCATGGCAGGCGAGGACCACCAGTGGCAGGGCAGCATCCTCTATAACATGCTTATGAGCGCGAAGCAAACGCGCACGGCTGCTGAGGCGCCCGAAGCGCGGCGGGGGGCTCCATGCTGGGGCTGCTCGTGCGGCGCTGAGCCCGCGGTGGGCAGAGAGGGGCTGTTTAGCGGGAGGGCTATGACGCTCCTGTACCGCTGTTGCTTTTGCGGTGAAGACCACCCGCGGCAGGGCAGCATCCTCTTCAACATGCTCACGAGCGCAAAGCAAATGCAAAGGGCTCCGGAGGCGCGGCCGGGGGCTCCGTGCTGGGGCTGCTCGTGCGGCGCTGAGCCCGTGGTGGGCAGAGAGGGGGTACCGGGCGGGCGTGCAGTGGCGCTCACGTACCGCTGCTGTTTTTGTGGTGAAGACCACCCACGGCAGGGCAGCATCCTCTACAGCTTGCTCACGAGCGCAAAGCAAGCGCACGTGGCTCCAGAAGCGCCCGAGGCACGGCCGGCGGGCGAGTGGTGGGAACGCTCCAATTGCTCGCAGAGGCTGCGTGGTAGAGAGGGGCTACTGGGCGGGCGGGCCATGTCGCTCCTGTACCGCTGCCGCCTTTGCGGTGACGACCACTCGCCGCAGGGCAGCATCCTCTACAACATGCCCACCAGAGCAAATCAAACTCGCGCGGCTCCAGAAGCGCAGTCGGGGGCCCCCTGGTGGGACACCTCGTGCGGTGCCCAGCGGCCGGTGGCTCTCAAGAGTCCACAGGTGGTCTGCGAGGCAGCCTCAGCCGGCCTGTTGAAGACGCTGCGCTTCGTCAAGTACTTGCCCTGCTTCCAGGTGCTGCCCTTGGACCAGCAGCTGGTGCTGGTGCGCAGCTGCTGGGCGCCCCTGCTCATGCTCGAGCTGGCCCAGGACCGCATGCAGTTTGAGACGGTGGAGACCGCGGAGCCCAGCATGCTGCAGAGGATCCTCACCACCAGGCGGCGGGAGACGGCGAGCGACGAGCCACTGTCCCTGGCCACACTGCAGCCACATTTGGCATCCCCGCGGGAGACCGGGCGGTTGCCCTCTGCCGCCGAGGTCCAAGCCATCAAGGGCTTCCTTGCCAAGTGCTGGAGTCTGAACATCAGTACCAAGGAGTACGCCTACCTCAAGGGGACCGTGCTCTTTAACCCGGGTAAGGGCGCTGGCCTTGGGCGCAGGCTTTCCCCAGCTCAGAAAAGCATTGGGCAGTGCCCACTCCGGGGCGCAGGCACTAAGGAGTTTTCAGTGGTCAGGAGAGTGTCGGGGAACAGGTGAAAAATCGCGACTAACTCAGCAGAGTTGGGGTGGGAGGCTTCAGGAACCACTTCTTCTAGGTGGGCTGCTGCCAGAGAGGAGGGGAGTGATTGTTGAGGTTTGCACTTGGCTCTCTACGCATTTCTGTCACTACAGAAAAGTTTGTGCCTTCATGGGACATGGTTAGTCCTTCTTTAGTTTTCTTTTAAATACAGTAGCATAGGTTTTGTCTTTTTTTTAAGTGTTTGTTCGCTGCAAATTCCGCAACATTTTTTTGAAACCTCGTTCTGAAATTTACTAGAACCTTTTTTGTTGGAGGAAATCTATTAAGGCTAGCAAGAGAGGAAACATTTGTTAAGACTCCATAGACAGACTATTCCCTGGGAACACTCTCAGACAGGACACTGGACTTAGTGTTTCACAAGTCTGCCTCTGAACACTCATTTATATGATCCTAAGCATCTGGGCTATCTCATCCTCCAAGTCTTTGAATAATCAGGTTGGCAAAAAAGGCAGGAAAAAAGACGGTCAGAACTGAGAGCTGGCGCACTGTATTTTATAACTGTCCCCACCCGATTTTACATAACAGGTAGACGCCTCCCAGGTGAACTTACTCCAAAATAAATCGCTGGTGTGTTGTGGCACCTGGGAACGTTCTGGGCCAATGTAATATCTGCCGCACCACACTTTCAGGCTTTCTGTTGGGTACTGGACACACTGCCCCACAGAGTGCAAGCAAATCATAGGAGAATATCATCCTGGACAGCCCAGTACCTTGTCTCTGATATACTCTACTCATTTTCAATCAGCATCTTTCCAAAATGATCACTAATGGGAAGAAAGTTTCCAGGCAACTTGAGTTGGGATAGTTTTTATAATGCTCCTCTTACATCATTTTTCCCTGGTGTGAGGAGTCTCTGGTTATGTCCTTGCCCCCTGCCTAGCATTTTGGGGGGTACATAGATCAGTATTTGGTGGGATAATAATTCATTCGGACCTCACATTATGACCTAGAGAGGTCAGTTAATCCCAGTGACTATTGTAGGTTACCCTTTTGTTTGTACCATGATTTTCCAAACTTGCTTGTGCATTAGCAACACTTGTGTGTGTGGTGGGGGGTGGGGAATAAAAGTCTTTTCCAGGCTCCTCCCCTAAAGATATTTGATTCAGTATAGCTCTGGCCCAAGGTCTGCAAATCTGCCTTCATAATAAGTGTCTCAAGTAATGCTTAAAGATCATTTGGAAAACAATGTTCTCAATCCTTGAGCCAATGTTATTAACCATCTACTATGATTATTCTATTGGAGTATAATGGTGAGAGGGGCTCGACTTCCAGAAGTTTACATTCCAATAGCTTTTTCTCTTTTCCTTGCTCCTTGTTTTGCATACTTTTGTCACACTGACACCCTTTATTCTCATTCTTCCTTTTCTAAACCTCTCTCTGTATGAGTTTAACTGGCTGAGTGTGCTTGAAACACAAATGCAAATGCACCTACCTTTGAGAGAAAGGTAATGCCTATTAAGTGTGTATCCTTTCTTTGCTGTTTATTCTTCTGTTTGTGTATACACACACATATACACAAGTTTGAACATAAACATAAGGAGAGATATAAAACTGTGGTGTCCATTTGCCTTTTTTCTTTCCTGACTTTATTTTGAAAGCAAGTCCTTTTTTTGGGAAAAAGCTACTTTTGGGGGAGAGGAGTAGTGTGAAAGCAGAGAAAAGTAATGAGTGCACAAGCCATGGGACCTATAGAAGCTTCATATTTCTGCTGGAGTTAAACAAAGCCTCTTCCTACTTTCATCAGTGGAATTTGAACACAACAAAATTGGGTCTCAAGCCTGAATATTGACTGTAGGTCATAAGGGATGTTAATGTGTGGACAGGGCTATTCAGAATTGGAATATGGATTTCTAATGTTGCTTTATTGTGTTATTTTATTTAACAGATTTGCTATTTGCCTATAAGGAGTAACTCATGCCTATTGCCATCATTATTATTATTATTTTTTAAGAACACTGGTTCTGCTGCTCTGTGATGATCAGCATGGTGCTTTTAAAATATTTTTTCTGTTGAATTTTGTAGAAAAGGGGAAAGAAATGACTGCATTGCATCATTAACATCCTTTAAACCAAATGTTGAACTGCTAATTACTTGAATACAAATTAAAGAACTTAGCAACAACATTACTATCGCAGAGGACCCAAGGACTTGTAATAGCAGCTTCCTCTTACCAACTTCTTCCTAAAACTTACATGAAATTAACCTTTCCTGTGTTATTTTATTCACTTTTACTTAGGTATCACACTGTACTGCAAAAGGTCATCCGTTTTCTATTAGAAAAGTTACTTTTGAGCCATGTTGCAATCTATGATGTTTTCATGTTTACCTTTTAACCTTTTAATGGCTGTAAGAGAATGCTTTCAAAAACTTCTTACTTTGATATATTTTAAAAGAGCCTTTTGAGGCACTCATTAAAATTGTGCATGGGCGTGTGTTCTCTCTCTCTCTCTCTCTCTCTCTCTCTCTCTCTCTCTCTCTCCCTCTCTCTCCCTGTCTCTCTCTCTCCCTCTCCCCCTCCCTCCCTCTCCCTCTCTCCCCTTTTTAATCTTCACCAATACAGAAATCATGGAACAGTGAGCTAAGTGGCCAGCAATAGCTTTCAAATTATTATGAGCCTCTAGACTAATACTGACCTGCAGGCAAATAAGCAGAGTGAAACCTGTGTGCCATAGTTTCGTGGCTGTGAGGTTTACCATCATTGGCTGGACAATCTGTGTAATGGTGGGAAATTTGAGGAAGAATGGTAAAATATTTGTCATCTGCCAAAACTTCCTGTTTCCAATAGCCCTGTTTTCCATAGATAAAAGGTAAAGTGCTCACTTCTTGGGATAGTATTAATTTCTTCCTATTTGCATAGAAAGTGAATTGGAGTGATAATGCATTAAACTGTATTATATTCTCAAATTAAGTGTACCTTTGTTGATTCATGGCCAATGTTTTTAAATGTGTATATAAACATAGTGAATATTAACTAAAATAATTACGTGATGTTTTATTCTTAGACGTGTTGCTTCTGAAAACTTAGAACTGGATGGGTATTTTATCCTTGCTTTAGAGAAACCCTTTTAACCTGGAAGCTTGAGCTCTTGTTTAATGGTGAAGAGACAGAAATAGGTATATTCTAAAAGGTAGCAAAGAACTCTGTGGTGAGCTGTTTATAACAAAAAGATTTTTCTCCTTCCAGACCTGCCAGGCCTGCAGTGCGTGAAGTACATTCAGGGACTTCAGTGGGGAACTCAGCAGATCCTCAATGAACACGTCAGGATGACGCACAGAGGACACCAGGCAAGATTCGCAGAACTGAATAGTGCCCTTTTCCTGCTGAGGTTCATCAATGCCAATGTCATTGCTGAACTGTTCTTCAGGCCCATCATTGGCACAGTCAGTATGGATGATATGATGCTGGAAATGCTCTGTGCGAAGTTATGAAGGCATGTGAGCCACAGAGTACAGTTCACCGTGAAGGAAGAATAAAGAGCTGTGGGTAGAAGAGTACAAAATGTTGTAAAATAAACTTTCTTATTATTTTTACATTCATAGTATTTTTGTATTCAATTAAAGAAGTACCTTAGTTCCAGACAATTAAAAAAATTCCTCTGTCCCATACTGTTTCATTGTGAAATAAAACATTTGCCAATGGGTAACATATCTCTGTACATCTTTAAGGAAAGAGCAGGGTACTACACTAATGAGCTACTTTCACAAGTTTAGGGACACTCTACGTGGAACCTGCTAAAACCAAATTTGTGATATTAAGTTATAATAAATTTGAAGGTGTTAACCATTAACTTGATTTTTAAAAATCTTATCAGGGTTTAAGTAAGGCTTCACAAATTATTAAAGCCTAGCCTTCATAAGCAAAAAGTATCTTTGTAACATCATGACATTTACTGTTATAACATGCTGGTGTCAGTGGAAGATGACTTTGCTGTATTTTCATTTCCACTTTTGCCAGCTGTATGGAAGACTGTCTTTGTACCCAATTGGAGCCAAGATGCAATCTGTGATGATAAAGGTACCTCAAAGTAAAATAGATTTTCAGAGTTTTATTTGGAGATTTTCTGTACACAGTTATGGATTTAAAATTCCACAAGAAACTTATATTCTGTAAGGAGGGATTATAGTTCCAGAAAGCTCAACATCATTAGAACCCCCTAATTACACCTCATCTTTTAGATATATTGTCTTTGTAAGTGTCACATTGAACAAGCATGGCATGAAATCATAAAGCAACCTGCTACACCTTTAATTATAATCCAAAGAATTAGGTTTCCCTTGCCCCCAGATGAAATTTAGTGCACCACATGTCTATTCTTCTATGGGTAATAAATTGCCTGTTAGTAATTAGGATATCTAGTCCCAAGGTAATAACCCATTGCAGAGAGTCTTAAACTTTCTTTTGTGCAGACCCCTTTGGCAGTTTGGTGAATCCTATGAACATCTCAGAATCAAGCTCTCAGAGTATTGTAGCAAATAAAATACTTAAGATTACAAAGGAAGTGAATTATGTCAAAGTGCAATATTGAAAAATATTTGAAATATATGTGCTATAATATGTTTCCTTATTAACACATTAAATAAGAAACTATCTCATGGCAGGTCTAACATTTACCTTAATTTCAAAGCAGTGATCAATATAATTGAAATTTTAAAATATCTACAACATCTATAAAGTGACAAGAAAATATTTGAGATTTCCACTGGTGACTGTGTTGGGGTACCCCCAGATCACTGCCTGGGTAAGAGATTTGCTAGGTATCACGTGACTCAGTACATAGTTTTGTTCAGGGCTAAGATTTATTACAGCGATGTAGTAAGGATATATGGCCAGATAATAAAGGAAAAGACACAGGTAGTATCTGGAAGAATCTGTGTGTGGGCCTAGTTATGCTCCTCCCTCCTGTGAGGGGTCACACATGGTGTACTCTTCTCCCCAGATAGAGACTCAGCAACATGTATATGATAGTTCTACTCAGGGAAACCCTTTGAGATTCAAGAGTTTAGGGTTTTTTTTTTTTTTTTTTTTTTTTTTTTTTTTTTTTTTTTTTTTTTTGTCTCACTTTGTTGTCCAGGCTAGAGTGAGTGCCGTGGCGTCAGCCTAGCTCACAGCAACCTCAAACTCCTGGGCTTGAGTGATCCTTCTGCCTCAGCCTCCCGAGTAGCTGGGACTACAGGCATGCGCCACCATGCCCGGCTAATTTTTTATATATATATCAGTTGGCCAATTAATTTCTTTCTATTTATAGTAGAGACAGGGTCTCGCTCTTGCTCAGGCTGGTTTTGAACTCCTGACCTTGAGCAATCCGCCCGCCTCGGCCTCCCAAGAGCTAGGATTACAGGCGTGAGCCACAGCGCCCGGCCGAGTTTAGGGTTTTTATTGAGGGCTGGCCACATAGGCACCCTCTACCTAGCATATCCCCAAATTCCAAATTCACAGAAAGCAGGTGATCAACGAGAACCACATTGTTTGCACAGTTTAGGCACAGTGAGTCACCCTTATGAGTTAGGAAAGAGTGAAAACACTTGCAAAATCAAAGTTCCCAGCTGTCAGCCAAGTGCTAACCTTGAATTCTGGCTATTCTAATGACAGCTCTTTTGGGCTTACTATGTTTATTCTCTAATGCACAATCCACCCACCCCTTTGAACCTTGGTCAAGATGTCTTTACAGAAGAATTATCAGTAGCCCCCTACACAGCAAGGTGGGACCAATCTGCAATACAGATCTCAGTTATGTCCTTTTGGAGTCCTGGACTTAGCCAGTTGAAACAAATCCCAGTAACCACAAAGGTCCATCTTAGGCAGCCATGTGACTTTCTCCGACAGTCCCTGTATGAACCTTTTTACCTGGCCCAAGGCATCCACTCAGTCCCAGCACAGCTCTTGCCAGTAATTGAAGCTGACCTGAATGCTTTCCAGGGCCGAGGCAGTGTCATGATAGTCACAGCACACACACACACAAGAAGTATGATCCCCAAGGGCTCATGCAGTGTCCTGGAAACAAAGAGTTGATCATGTTAGGGCACCTGAGCGGAATATGTATTGGTCAGGCAGCCCCCACTGTGGCCTTCCACGTGGTGCCTCCCACCCCAGGGTGCTCAGTCCGGTGCAAGTGATTCAATTCAGTCCCTGGTTTCAGGGGCCCTGTCTGAAGTCATCAGTCCCAAACAGTTCCGTCAGTGACACTAGTTCATCTGCCTGGCAAGTGGGCAGCATCTGGAACATTCTGCGGGGACTGTGCAGGAGCTGGCCCACTCCTGCCATGTTATAGTCATGCTGTCATGTGCCATTTAGGCCTAGCAGTCAGTATGAGTCCAAAGTGCCTGCAGTAGCTTGCAAAGGCAGCAGGAGAGTTTTCTTCAGAAAGAGAGGAAAGTTTCCAGAAGCAGTTCTAGAATACAATAATCATTAATGCCTTACTCCCTCCCCTGAGCCTCCTCAGGTATGAGGGTTTGTTTTTTTTTTTTTTTTTTTCTTAGTTCTTACAAGTGTGTCCTGTTCAATAATCCTAACTACATTTCTTTCCTAATCATTTCTTTTTCACCCAGTCCTCTTGTTTGGAAGCATTGTGTGTAAGAGGGACAAAAGCATTTTCAGAGGATAACATTTTAATTCAACCTAACCAGAAAGACACATCATGTTCAGGAACTGGTCAGGGCAAAGTCCTGATTTTTCAATATGTTCTCAAAAAAGGTTTATATACTCCCTCCCCATACCATTTGTCCTGATCATTTATCCAGTGAACAACCTAGAAAAACTCAATCTTTTTCTGGGGACAGCTGCATTGAATGATCAAACTGCCTCACTAAGGTGCATGCAGCAGGAGAAAGGCGAGGGAAATGGAGTCAGGCTCAATCCATTGCTGCAAACTGCAACTAATCTGGAAAGCACAACACAAGTCAACAGCAGTGAGCCATCCTTGAGAATCCAATCTATCAAGAGTGGGCAGAGGAGTCATACTCCCTGTGGTGTCCCCTGCCCCAAATTATAGTTTTCAGCAGGAAACACAAGTTGGGAATGAAATCAGGCTATTGTATCAGAAATAGACAGTCGATCTCTATCTCAAATGGTTCCATTAGAGACAAGCCCTTTCCCTATGGCATCGGCAAGTGACCCAGATGGTCCATCCAGCATCCATAATGTTTCATAGCTTGAAATTCCACAGAGTCTTAAATTTGCGGCAGTCCCAGAGACTGAGTTCTGTTCATTGAGTCTGTGCCTGCATTCAGTTCAGCACAGCTCAGTGCTGAATTGAAATAGCCCATAGCAGACAGTATTAGGTTTCAGCTTAAAGTCAGGTCCAGGAAATTAGAATCTTTGAATTCAGTATTCAAAAAAAAAAAAAAAAAAGCCAGAGGCTTTTCTGCAGCAGTGGCAAGAGATGCTGTCAGGCCAGACACCTGTGTTTCAAGTCTAAGTCTAAGTCTTTCCTAAACACCTTTTACTCTGTCATGCCAGACTGTCCAAATTGACCCATGCAAAAACATACAAATCAGGCCAGAAAATCATTAAACCCTATATCAGAAATATGACTTCACAAGAACTCGTTAGCAAAAACAAACAAGAAAACCCTCAAAAACCTGCTTTTTAGAACTCTAAAAGTATAGCTTCATTTGGAGATTGGCTCCCTTTTCCAGAGGCTCCAATTGGCAAAATTACAGCAAAAAAAAAAAAAAAAAAAAAAATCATCCGTTACAGAGCCTTATTTTCAATACCAGGAGTTTAAATTCCAATCCACCCACCTGTGACAAAAAAAGCTTAGGAGCTGTGTCCCATTAACATGTTTTATTTTTCTTTGCAGCTTTTCCTGATTGAGATGACCCCTCTAGCATTTATGAAATTAAAGGCATATAACATTTTGCATCAATTTTTTACCATACATCCATATGCAGTAGCCACAAATGCAAAGCTGTGAATTAAAATTTCCTTTCTTTTCTCATTACAAGTTTACTCAAATCCCTAGCAGTAAATTTGCCATTTATGGGGTTCATATCACAGCTGCCAAAAGAATCCAGCTGGAATGGATCTGAGGGGGAGAGGAACAGCAGCAGCTAGGCTGAAGAAATGGTTAGAGTGTTCTTTTTCCCCTTTCTTCTTTTCGTCTGCTTTATCTAAGGCCTTGCTCCAGCCCTGAGAACAGATTTATCCTTTTTTCTTCCTACATGGAGGAGAAATTAAGTACAAACTAAATTTTAGGGTATTTGGTCCATCCAAAGCCCATTATGCAGAATGTTTGAGGCCTTTCTCCTCCTGCAAGGCGGTTGCACTGGGGAGAGACCACAGAAAACAATGTCTTCACCTGGGCTGTGCTATTTCTTCCTTACTTTAGCAGAGCCAATTCTGCATGGCCAAAAGCATCTAGGAGATCCAGAGAGCCAACTTTTCTGGGGGTGGATCTATCATTTTCAAATTCCATAGGTAACTTTTTTACGTCTGACCACAGATAGCAGCTCAGCTGCTGTTTCATACTATAACTCCATAGCCACCCAGTTATCAAGGTTTCATCATTCTCTGTTCCTCTCTCTTTTCCGCA